TGTTTTAACAAACTATAGAAACTAACGACTTTCCGAAAGTGCAGCGTGATACTAGTCGCATGTTGCGGATGACTTCCGTTACTAGTATCATTATAGTGAATGACGGAAATACTGAACCATAAAACAAAATAATCAACAAAATTTCGTTACACAACGTTGGTCACTTTATCAAGCTTAGCTCATACTGTCTTGCTATATATCTGTTTCATTTTACAAAAATATCGCTGTTAGCATCCACAAAACAAGAAAACATATTCAGATTATACTGGGATTATAACGTACAAGTTTACTTTGTGACCGTTGCAGTGACCTCGACTCTCGTATTTACTCTGATATTCCGGTCAAACATGACCGCTGAAACGACACTCGTTATGGCTCCGAACTCATTAGTTTATTTTCTAATAGTGAGTAATTAGTTATATACACGACAATGACTGCATAGAAAATCTAAAAAAGGGGCAGTCCTTGCAATTTCAATAATAATTTCCATTTGAAAAGACATTGTCGTTCTGGATCAAGGCGTCAAGTACACAAAAGATCTTGCAAAACTTTACCAACCCATAGTAAGAACTTCTTTTTTATTCGTCAATTTAGAGCCGGTGCTTAGCTTCCTAGTGACTAAACTCTCACCAGAAGAATTTTCTTTGTGTAAAAACTGACCGAGCCCACTTGGTTAATATTAACATAAGTATTATATCATTTTAGACTTGCACAATCCTTGAGATTTTCGCAACGTGATACCACTGGCCATGAAAATACTAGGGCTTTATTCACTGCTGCTGACGCATTGGAGTATGTGCGAAACAGCGGAAACTTTTCCCTGTGGTGATGTTTGTGAGTGCTCAAGCAATCATGAAGGCATCGTAGCCAATTGCAGTCGGCGAAACCTGTCGCATCTACCGGCTCGACTGCCAGATGAGATTCAATATCTGTAAGTTTGAAGTTTGTATCTCTCTGATTAAGTTGAGCTAGTTCATCTCAGTATCAGTATTTCGTCTTGGGGTGCTGGGCTAAACAACTACATTGAACTTGTTGAAGCCTCTAGTTTATACTGCAGTGCACGTGAGAGACACCTTTATTTCTCCTTCGATTTTGCCCTTGATTATGGATTTATGAAGTGAAACATCAGAGAATGCCGTCAGGTTGTGTTACAGTTCTAGAGCGCAGTTCAGAGGTCCTGTATTACTCATGTGAACTATCATTGGAACTGCCTGCCGTTCAAAGTTTTCTTTTGAAATAATGAAAATATTTGGCTACTTCTGGAAGTAAATTTTGACGGGAATGGTTGGAGCAATCGAAATCTATCGATTCTTAAATTTGTTTAGTTGACGTTAGTTACCCACACAGACATTTAATCCTTTGTGTACTCAGTCTTTGTTCACTTCATTACTTCAATCTATTTTCTGTAGACGTCAAACTCTATAGATATATGAAATGTTAGATTGGAACAAGCGAAAAGGTTGAAGTCGAAGTTGATATGGGACATGTGGGTTACCTGCAGTAACACAGACAAATCGTCATTTCCGGAAAACACCCATGCTAACCGGAGGCTCAAGTACCGGCTTATATCAAGGACAAATTTACCTTTAAAACAATCGATCAAAGAATATCGTTACGATTCTTTTTCTGTCTACTGCTCTTGCTATGCTTTTGATATTTCCTTGGCAGGTAACAGCCATGTCAGAATCTATCGAGCCGTTTGCGAGAAGTCACGTAACGCTTCTCCAGTGGAATTATTGCGTGACAACCCCGAAGAAGCGACAAGTGCGATGTCTTGTCATGCCAAAATCCTGCACCCAGAGACGGTCCTATATTTTATTGTTTGTAGAATAAGCTACTTACGTCTTTATATATTGTTCATTATTTTCCAGAGATCTCTCGGGTAACACGATATCAACCTTATCACCTCCACAAATGTCACAAGTCGTGGATCTTCCAAGGAGTTTGTGCGTTTTGTAAGTCTACCAGCCTTGTTCAGATTTATAATTTACTGAACTGTTTAAATCCGCAGGACATCGCGGGGTGCTAGATGCCAAAATAGTTCCTTTCTCTTTCCCTTTGAGACTTGCATTCTCTGTAAGAATGGATTTCAAAAATTGTAGCAATGTTTGGTTCTTTGCTCTTTATTGAAAGATTAAAGCAATTTGCTCCTTCCAATTTATCACTGCACATATCTTAACTATACCCTCTGGAAACAGAAATATAACTATTGTTTTAATTTTTCCTTTTTTTCCTCCAATGATTTTGAAGAGGGGAAGCATTTGATATTTTACATTATTATTTGGCTAGCTCCGTTGAGGGGGCAAGATGAATCAGATCCTACGCTGTTTTTGGCTACCAGAGATGGCAAGATAGCGCCATCTTGCCCTCTAGGGACTACCCGCTGCGTCCCGCAAGAAAAATTTCGCCGAAAGCCATACAATAAGTCCTTTATTGACCAAGCTTGTTCGGTCAAAATGGATGTTGGCCTCGTTCTTTTCCTACTTGTTTATGGACCTCGACTCCGTCTCGGTCCATAAACACGCAAAAAAAAAAAAAAAGTTGGCCAATATCAAGCCATCTTGACCTCACGTTAGGTCAACAACCCATATTCATTTTACATTCATTTGAGTAACACAGCGTCATTACAAGAATTTATATGGGAATGTAACGATCGCTCATAACAATTTGAAATGTAGAAAATAAATTTAATATAAATGACTTACTTCGACTCTTTGGTGTGCTATTAGTCTTTTTAACAAAACGTTTGTTTCAACGTTTCTTAAAGGGGCTAGGTCACGCTATTTTAGGTAATTTTGTCAATTATGAGCTCTAAACGTCAAATTGGCAGAGTAACAGTCTTTCATTTGCAAAATCACGGCCACATAACTAATAATGATTTTCCAGCTGTGTACATGACATTTTGATATAAACTGATATAAATTTGAAAAAAGGTGGACCGACGTTTTTCAAATTTACACAAATGCAATGCATTTTAATCTTCTCCAGTTTTGTCCATCCATGTGCCATCTTGGCTTTCCTGTGTTTTGTTTGAGATCTTCTATAGTTTTGAGCCGTTTCTGTGATATGTTAGTTAATTCTATGACCATTTGATCAGTGCTGAAATTGTCCAAAATTGCGTGACCTAGCCCTTTTAAACCAATATCAAACCCACATGATCCTGGCTGTGATTTAGTATTTTTGTCTAAGTTGTTTATATTAATATTTTGCCATATTTCGAATTGTTATAATTGATAGTTACATTCCCATACAAATTCTGTGTTATGCAACTGAGATTCATGGCTCCATGGAACTTGACAGACTTATGATGTGGCTGACAAAATCTAGAGGATAACAAATTCGTCTTTAAAAAACTAAGCCCTTTATCACCGCCGAGTAGATTTTCAAACTTTTCAAGACAGTGATAAGTTTCTGTAATTACATTTAATGTTTTAGAGATTTGTCTGACAATCCATTGGAATGCGATGACAGTATTCTTAGGAACATGGCGGCGTCCATTACTGTGAAGTCGAGCTGCCGAGAGTTCAGTATTGAAGGAGGTGAGTGGAGGTTGAGTCCAAAAACTAGTACCCACGCCGTCCCTTCCGCCAGCTTATGACGTCACGACCATTAACAAAATGCCTTTTGGCGGGAACGTGTATTCTCACCGGTTGAATAAGGAGTTAAAGTAACCACGACGGCGACGCCGAGGACAACTTCGATTAAAAGATGACTTTGTACTTTACCTCCGAATCTCGCGATACTCTAGAGTCATTTACTTTATCACTGACAAAACTTTCACGAAACTGAATCTGGGACATAGCGATAAACTTGAAATAAAATTTAAAAAAATTAGCCGTCGTACTTCACGTCCTCCAGACAATGCAGAATTTGGTCATTTCACGTTGTTGTTTTGCCGAGGACGGTAAAGAAATTTACCAAGAATTATAACGCACCTGCACAACCATTGTTCTCCTAATGAAATCTTTTGTTTAGCGACGTTGCCGTTGCCGCTGCCGTCGTGGTTTTCTTAAACTCCCTATTTTCCCGTTAGCATCCGAAGCTGAGGACAAAAATACACGATTTTGAAATAAATAGGAAGTACTTGGTGCTTTCAATTTAACACAACTGTGTCATGGCAAACAAGACAGCAACGCCTAAGATGATGCCTGCTTTAAGTTTATTTACATTTTTAATTTAATGATTTGATCTAAAGCCATCTTCCGAAAATTCCCCGTTGTTATTATACTTTCCCTGGATCCATCCCTGTTAGTATGACATCCCTTCCTATTACTTTACATTTGTTGTAAAATGGAGTCGGGAAAGTTTTAGATAAACGCGAGATCAGAACGAGTCGGAAGTTTCCCAGCAAACACACAGATGTTTGCTTTGTTTGTTTGCTGTTTTAGTTTCATCATCGTTATTATCTCGTCCATAGGAACAAGGATAAGACACCGTTCAAAAAGAGAACTGAGAAGTAAGTCTATAGTTTAGCTGCATGGAAAAAAATAACACAAGAAAGAGTTGATTTAGTACTAATTGCAATTGAAGCAATCACAGACGCCATTTAGATTTAGTTTTAGAATAAAATACTAAAGTTCTTTACTAGAAGTAATTTATGCGCTTAACTTGATAAAATTTTAATGACATTTTTTTTTAACTTTCTGTTGGCCTTCTCATCGAAATGCCAGCGACAAGAAAAATCGAGGTTTCTTTACTGCAATGGCACACTTTGGAACTCTTTACAAATGTTTTATCGCAGGTTGTGAGCCAGGATCAATAAACTGTGGGAAACACATCTGTGGGGGCAATGTTTCCTGGCTGCCATTTTCGAACTACTGGGGGTGCTGTAAGGGTCAGATCCATGATCTGCGTGAGTCGTATTGTCCTGAGAAATCGACATACCGGCTGTGTAGCCATCCGATAGCCACTCAGTTTAAATGCAGAAATGGACATTGTATACCAACACCATGGCTGTGCAACAAAGTTAACGATTGCCAAGACGGAAGTGACGAACTTGGCTGTGATCTGTGTAACGGAACCAACTACTTCCGCTGTTGGAACGGAAGATGTGTTCCACAGTCCGCTGTCTGTGACGCGTATAACGACTGCGGCGACGGCAGTGATGAAACGTTCTGTCGAACGTTAGCTGGTGGATGGTGCACAACGAAGCAATACCGATGCGCCACAGACGCTTGCATTCCTGTTGAAGCAGTGTGTGATGGGAAGGCAGACTGTACCGATAAGTCAGACGAAATTGGATGCGGCAATAAAAGTGAGAAGATAACTTTTTGAGCTTTCTTCTGAGAATTTCACCGAACAGATATGAGTCTTGGAATTTTGTTGTTGCTTTTTTTGTCCTCTTGGTATAAACACAAGATATGGTAAGGGAGTCCCAACCCACGATTTCCCCTTAGTTAAGCTTCGTACTCAATCGAAGTAACGAGCAAGAGCGGACAATTTGACAATTTGTTATTGTTAAAAACAAATTAACGTCAGTTTTTCATGCGTCTGTACTGTTATTAACAATGAATTTCGTCATAACATTGTCAAAGTAGCTGTGGATCCACTCGGTTATCGCCCGTGGTTCCAAAGCTTCTTTGACAATGTTATGACGAAATTCATGATCAATAACAGGACAGACGTATGAAAAAATGATGTCAATTCGTTAAATCGAAGTTTTACAAATGATACGATTTCACTTTTTTTTCATTGTAGCTTGCGACAATGGATGGAAACAGTACATGTCTTATTGTTATCAGTACTCTAACCACCAGAGCAGATGGATCGATGCTAGAAAACGTTGCCAGAACATCGGTGCAGATCTCGCTAAAATCACAAGCCGAGATGTGCAGGATTTTGTGTTCCGCCTTAGATTAGATCAGAAGTCTTTTAACATCTGGATTGGTTTACAGCAGCAAGTAGTTGGAAACACAAAAACGTTTGTTTGGACAGATGGATCGCATCTTGGTAGCTTTTATTTCTGGTCTAGAGATGAACCCCGGAAAGGCCAGAACATTTGTGTGGAAATGCTTCATAGTGATACTAATGGACGATGGGGGACTGGTGAATGCACAGCAACCACATCGAAACACAGCTCCTACGTGTGTCAAAAAGGTATGTTTAGCTGCCTTTTACCTTTGTGTCACACACCCGAGTGGTAAAGCCAAGAGACCCCGCCGATCGGCTCCTACGCCTAATCTTTCCCGTGTCTTCGGCTTGCTTGCAATTACCAAATAAATAAACAAACAAACAACAACAACAAAATAATTGGACAAGTGGTAATGGCGCTGAACATTTAAAGATTCCATTCAAATATTTCAGGTTTAACAAAACAAGGTTATAAACTGAGAAGAAACCAGGGAGACGACCCAATTGAATAATTCACGAGCATGGCCCAAGAGCTGAACTCTCGGCACTTTCTCTTTTGTCAAAAATTCGGGTAATTTTGATGTGTTTTCGTTTTAGAAGCAAAATATTTGCCGGACCTAGTTTTGAATTTATTTTCATATGCCCAACCTTAAGGTAATACGGCAAGCCATAAACGAACAAACGAACGGCGCATCGGCCTTTATTTCCGTTACTTCAGTTAATGGCAGAGTTAATACATTAAAGTTCAAGTCTTACAGTATTACAGGAAAAACAGATGAACGGACTGTGAAACTTACCTGTTTGCCTTACAGCCGCAGTTTGCGGGACATTGGGAAATAACTGCAGCAGCGGTCACTTTGGTAAGCGCAAAACAGTTAAGTTTTCTTATACAGTGTAGCACATGATTAAAATGCAATAATACATTGTAGACCAATGTTTTCAGATTTAGTTCTCCATCTTGAAGCATCTCGACTACTCTATGACCGCCCTGGAAATAAGTGTTTCCTTGTCAGTAGTCTTCTTTTTCCTCCCCTCTCAGCAAACTGAAGTAAATTTTGAACTTCGACTGAAATTCGGGTTCTGGGAGTAACAAATTTCTTAGTGACAACTTACATTATTTTTAGCAAATCCGATTTCTACACAACATAGACAATGAAGAGATCGATTTTAAGTAACTGACAAATACAAGATGCTTTGGAAACTAAACAACCAAACGGTATTCCGATAAAAATACTAAATAAATAAAT